AGAGGCGCAGAGAAAGCAAACGGTTTAGAATAAGGACACAAGGTTCAATTAAGGTCACCTGTCTACAGCTCAAACAATGTTTTCAAGATATCCATAATCACACTTCTTTTATAAAAGTCACGTGTCTGCGGTATAGACAATGTATCCAAGATATCTTATGTTAATTCACATGTCTACGTCAGAGACAATGTGTATAAGACATCCATGATTCTGCACTGAAGCAATTTATTTGGCCAGGAGACTTTGCAATTCTTCTTGCGAACTGACTGTGATGAGTTATGTATTCGATTATTATGAAAATAATAAACACGTTGACTGAATACAAAGGTCACAGATGAGGTTGTTACACAAAGGTCATAGATGAGACATAGTGATCAAAGTATGTTGAATGTTTTTAATAATCACGTATCCATCGAAGGATTAGGATAATAATTTTTCTTCAGGACACAATATCGGATAGGACACAGTATATTAATAGGACACAATATTCGTAGGACAGTTGTAAAAGTGACGGCGGATGAACGACTCCCCCGAGAAGGGGAAGGAAGGGGTTTTTATAAGTTCGGCGTGGGAGAATGGTCATGTGACCAATTGTTGTGAGGTAAAAGGTACGCAGATGGGTCAGAGTTGTTCCCGGGCTCATGCTAACTATCAACTTAGCAGTTGGAATGTGGGATTAGTTTCGAAATGAACGGATGTTTATGTCGAACATAAAGAAAAAATTTTTTTTTCGTTAGGTTTCACTTTAAGGTAATGAAAATTTAGTTGGATTTTAGGCAAAAACGGGACAATTAATCGGCAAATAATCGGTAAAAATTCCGGATTTCACAAATGGTAGACCAGGTATCGGTGTAGTTGCGGATGATCGATTCCCGCATCTGGCGAATGAGGTCACGTTTCATGAGAGGTCTCCACCAGGAGCCGATGGGAGTGTCATGGCTAGCGGCTTGGTCTGCCTCTTCATTTATATGGATGAAAACTTGACCAGGGGTCCACCCGATTTCAAGGGGTGTAGGGTGAGAGCTGATAGTTGCTAGGTCAATAATAACCGCTGGAGGGGAAAAATTTACGTTGGCGACTGCCAGGAGAACTGATTTCGTGTTCAGTAACGCAGAACACCTAACTTAGAATTCTGAATGACTTAGTGGGCGCAGCTAAGAATGTTCTGAGCATCATTGAACGATTATTCTTAGACAACTGAGCAAAATGGTGGACGACGTTAAAATCATGTTCGCAACGATTGTCGCAAAGGATGAAGTAACCAATACATTTCTTATAATTTGAAACCGTGTCGTATAACTTCTGTTTCTCAAACACAAATTACATTTGGCGTTTTACCATCTTTATTCAGTTGATACACGTATTGTTACACGTTTCGGGCTCGATCTGCCCCTCATCAGTCAACTAAAGTAATAAAAGAAGCAATGTCCCATGAAATAATTTATCTATAAGTGTTCTTTTTTACATAAACAAACCTTACTGTAGGATGTTATATTTTATGTATGCTTCTTTTATTATCAACTGAATAAAGATGGTAAAACGCCAAATGTTGTAATTTGTGACACTTATTTGTGTTTGAGAAACAAAGTAACCAATACAATTATTCAAATGGAAACTGCGTCAGATCGTGATGAAATTAATGAAGCAATCATTAATTGTAATCAACGAAATGGACCGCTATCTTCCGTTAAAATGTATTCGGAATCTATTATACCGACGTATAATAATTTTACATTTCGAACTCATTTTAAAATGACTTAATGATTTAGAATGAGAGAATAACTTTGTAATTCTTATAATAAAATACATTTAGTCCAGCACGAACAGCCATCTTGCAAATCGTACCAGACAAAAACAATGACGTCACTAGTGGAAGTTAGCAAGATAAAAGAAGCTGACTGAACTAGCTAGAATTCTAGGATTAATTTCGACCACCTTCCGCAACAGCCTCTTCTTTCTATCGGACGAAGTATGATGGCATTCGAATAGAAAAATAGTATAATACAACTAGGTTACCCGTCGTGCATTGCTGCGATCTCAGAAGAAACGAAATTCAAGCAAACTCGTTATGATAAAATTAAATTTACATTTTATCATTTTTATTGAAACTTATTATTATTCATTTTCATCGGGAAAACATTTCAAAGTGTCGTTTCAATTCTATTTATTTATTGAAGTGCTTGTGGATACACGATATTTTTTGTTTTTCCGTCTGGTGCGTACACGAATAAATCAGGTTTTCCGACACATACAGTTGTACATGCGAGAAGCACGGATCTTTAAATTTAGCCCACATACTCGCAGAGATTGTTANTCTGGTGCGTACACGAATAAATCAGGTTTTCCGACACATACAGTTGTACATGCGAGAAGCACGGATCTTTAAATTTAGCCCACATACTCGCAGAGATTGTTAGAAGTGCGATATTCCCCATTTTTATATATATTTTTTAATCCTTTATAATTTTGATTATCTAATTGCTCCTTCCTCTCTGATATTTGGATAAGCCGTTTTATTGTAATTTGTCTTTTTAAATTATTTTGAGTCGATATTAAAATTTGAAAAGGGGATAGCTAGATCGGTAAAATAGGCGAATTTCTTCCTACAACTTCGGTTGTTGTTCGGGATATAGTTAAGGTTTTAACAAAGTTCGAGCGAATACGTAAATAGCAAAAAAAAGTTGAAATAAAGTGATTAAACAAAAATTATTACAAATATCGTAAATAACAGTTCACAAATGCGTATATAGAGATATTTTTTGGAGGGGGAAATGGTGTTCACAATTTGAAATCGATCGAACACACAGTGAATTCTCGTATACACTCGCGCCATCTATCGTAGGATAGATGTACTATGCCAGAAACCTTCGCGGGAGTATATTAAACAACTTCCCAAAGTTTCATGACAATCGGATAAACGGTGTGGTAATGCATGAAGGACAGACACACATACATTCATTTTTATATATATAGATGTTACCAGCCTGCACAAAATGTTTTAAGTGGTTTTCGAGGGTGCAGTTTAAATATTTGCTGTTTTTCGCGAAATTTGATTCGTTGGCAACGTTAGGAAAATATATAATATATATTTTCAAATGGTGTCTACTTGACCAATGAAATTGTGCTATTTCGTACCGCCAGAGTATCGCGATAAACGTAACAATCTTAGGCTAAAATAACCAAACTATATGGTTTTAATGTTTGTTATATTATAGTATTTGATTTATAACTGCAAATGTTATCATACGTAAGGGTTCTTTATTCCTCTACTGTTCACAATTTAAAAATGTGTTAGATTGAAAAGCTAAATTTCTTTTTATGAAGCGCTAGATGGGACTACTAAAAATAAATGTGTAATCATCAGGATAAACATTAAATTGAAAAATATTACAATGTGACTTCACTATATATTGATATGATAAATTCAGCAAATTTCCTTTTATTACAGTTAAAATTTTCTTTCCTTTTTAACAGGCTAAAATATAACACTTGATATTATCATTTACATTATTTTTGTTTTCATAAATGTAGAACTTTAGAAAAATCACCTTTTATGTGGCCTGCTGAAATGTGATACTTATTGTCACTTTAAAATCAGCTGTGTTAATTTTAATCTGGCCATCGAGAGTTTTTAATTTGGTATTTTAGTACCACACCATTTACAATTGTGAAAGAATTTGAAATAGTTTTAAGATAACAGATTTTAGTAAATAAACAAAAGGAAAGCCCAAATCCAAATTAAACAAAGCTTGACTTGATAAATAATATTCATAAGAATATAAGCATCATTCTTATAATTTTGAGAATTAAATTTGTTTTCAGTTATACCTAACAAAGGTTTCCAAATAGTGGTAATCTTTTAGAAAACATACTATAATATTCCTTAAAATAAACCAAGCTATAAGTATGATACATAGAATACAAGTCTTTTATGGCCACTTTAATACACAGTATACAATTTCAGAATCTTTTGTTAAATTCTTTAATTAGTTTATACACTATTTCTGGGGTTTAAGAATTTTATGATAGTTACTCCTTCAAGATTTTCTACAGAGTACATATAAATTACAGATTTGTTTTAATGAATTAACATTAGTTTGTTGAATTATCCAAACTTTAAGTTTGGTTCCTTCAAACATTAAAAGGTAATTATATTCATAATTTCAAATATTACATAATTGTTTCATCTGATCTAAAAACTAAAATAAAAATTAGTTTCTATAGATCAAAATGAATTTACTTTAGCATAGTGTCTGACCTCAAAGAGTATACAACTCTGAGTGGAATTCAACTATGCTTTGCATCTATATTACATTTTTTAATCTTATATAAGATGAAAAATTTCAAACTGATATTGATACTTATTGACTACATTTACAATGAATAATGCAAGTGTATGGTTTGCAGAGGCATTCAATTCAACAAATATCAAGCAGTTTACAATAGCATTTTAATTTGTGATATTGTTTTTATTATATATGATTACTAAATTATCTGTGAAACTAAGCATTAAATACATCAAGCAATGCATGATTATAAAGTAAATTTTATTTTAAAATATACAAGAATCAAATCAATAAAAATTATATAAATACAAAAACAATGCAATCCAATTCACCATAAGGAATTATGGAATATTCAAATGTTTTATCAAAAATGCATATACAGTAGGTGCCACTTATTGTAATTGTGGATATCATCAATCATCTAATTATCACAGAATCAACATGTTCATTGATTACAATTAATGATGTTACAACACACAAATGAAACATTACAAAACACCTGTTAATGGATCACTAATGCATCATAGAAAGATTTTAAGATTAATTGGGATAATTGTAAACTTTTTCCTCCTATCATGCATTGTACAGCACAATTTGAAAAACTGGTGTATATTCTTTTATAAGTACAGGGGGGATGCATTATTTATGATCTTTTATTAACCGCTGATATTTAGACAGCAACTACAAATAATTTTCCTTTTTAAAATGTAACAGCCTCACTGGTTGAAGGATAATTTTCAGCAAGAGCTGTTTTGCAAATTGTTCCCTTTGAAGGTTCCCACACAGCTACACTTATCAGCGAACAGATAAAGATAGTTCTTGAATGATATAAGTTGACAAAAGTCATAAGATATTCTTAGTACTGAGCGATTCCGGAGCAAATATGGTAGCTGGAATCAGGAATTGCAACTTAGAAGTATTATCATGCTTTACACATACACTGGAGCTGACACTAAATGAATGCATATTTTCTCAACAAGATCTGAAATACTGTCACACATTTTAATCATTCTTCTGTAGCTATAAGCAAATTGGAAGATTTGCGAGACAAGTTAGGTTTGCAGAAACACAAATTAATTCAAGATGTTCCTACTCGCTAGAATTCTATTTACTGCATGTTGCAAAGAAACTTTGAACAGCAAAAAGCCCTTGTGCATATATGCTATAGATAATAGAATTTCCACATTGAGCACATATCAGTGGTCTCTCGTATTATCAAAAGAGCAGTAGTTCCTTTAGTGGCATTAATTCCACAATAGAAGGACTAGAAAATTCAATATAAAAAGATTTTCAGCATATATAGAAAACAAGTCTATGATTGTCATCCTTATTAGATCCAAGATTCAAAATTAAATTTCAAAAAAAAAAAAAAAACAATGATAGAGAAAATAAAAAGATGGACAATCGATAGCTTAGATAATGTTGATAATTCAAAATCTCAAGAAGAATTAAATTCTGAAGCTTCTGCTTCTGGAGACAATCAAGATGGAGGATAATCTCTGAGTTTTTCTAATTTATTTGATGAATTAACTTCTGGTGAACGAAAGAATGAATAAAAGCATGTTTTTAAAAATGAAGAAAAAACAAAAGAAACGAACAAACGTTTCGATCGAGAATTAGAATAATATTTACATTTACCTTTTATACAAAGACAGCGACCCATTTTTGTGGTGGAAAGTTCAAAAAAATTTTTTTCTAATTTAAGCAAAATAGCTATGAAATATCTAAGTCCCTCAGCATCTTCCATTGAAAGTGAAAGAATTTTCAGAGTTGGAGGTAACATTTAAGAGCTTTGAAAATGGTGAAATTCTCATGTTTTTGTATTACAGTTTAAGGGTTTTAAAGTTTGAATATTAAATTTTTATTTGTTTTATATATTTAAAGTTTAAACTTTAAATAAAACAGATAGTTTTGAATAGATTACATTATACCTTATGATATGTATTGATAAAAGAAATAATTTAAGTTAATTTTTTTTTAGTATTTAGATTGTCATGTAATAAATAATAAATATATAACAGAAATTTAATATTTTTTATTATTAGCCTTTTACGTGACATTCTAACAAAAATATTAAAATACAAAATTGGCCGATTATTAAAACCGATTAATCGGGAAAATGGCCGATTACCTGATTCAACTTTGTTACAACTGATGGAGAACACACTGTGTACACACACACTAATGTTGAGGAGAGAAGTTCTGATTATGTTTCAGCTAAATTATGGACAAAGACAGAAAGGCCAAAAATTATTCTGGAATATTCACTCAGAATATCTACATTGATGACAACACAGCACTACTTCCAGGAATGCCTGATCATACCTACTGTTTATGCTTAAACATGAAAGCATGAATAGACTCACTAAATCACTGAAGGTGTTTGTTTTGTTAAGTTATGGCAACGCAACACTTGGGGCGATCTGCCTAGGGGGGATGCCTCCCAAGAGGTCTTTTTAAGGGAAACTGGCCCCTATTTAGGCATTACAGACGTGGAGAAAACCCAAAAAACTCCATGTGGCTAACCCGCCTGAGCAAGGCGCAAACCCACAACCGAACTCCCAGTGTTCAGGGTACGAAGACTGCTCGGCCATTGGTAAAATCACTGAAGGACTTTCCAATGATAATATGCAAGGTCAGATACAAAGACTTCTTCCAGTGATTGGAAAAAAGCTAACATATTCTAATAATTCTTTTGAAGACAAAGTCCTTTCCAAAAAATAGGAACCACCATTTATTAACTTTGTGTTCCAAACATTACACTTTTGGCAACTGACCTTTTCTTTTAGGCTACTGGCCGCTAAACAGTCCTTTAAAAAATATAGAACTCAGTGAAGATGTTGGATATTTATTTTTTAAGGTAAGCCTTGGATTGTATTAGGGAAAACCCATGCAGAATTTAATTTTATTCAGTACCTACTGATATGCAACACCTTCAAAAAAACCAAGATCATACTCTGTAGCATGTATTTTATGAGCAATCATACATACCAAAAGAAGATTCAATACTGGCAAATTCTATGTATATACATATGTTTATGTAACTCTATGTACATTCCTTTTGATCTTCATGTTTCATTGTCCATAATTATTCCTACTTTATAGACCTAAAATGAAAAAAATAATAGTAAATTAATCTGACTGTATCTGTAAATAGTAATTTATTTTAATGAAAAATAAACATCAGATTTCAATTGGGTAAGTTTTCCACAATTACTTCAGTATGGTGCATAAATCATCATTAAAAACATTATGCTTATCAGTTATTTTGGATTATTTTTAAAGGTAATCAAAGTATAAAATAATCAAATCAAACAACTTTAACACTTACTTTAAAGAAATTATCTAGTTAAAAAATGATTAATCTTTTTTGAAAAGCTATGTAAAATGTTTTAATTTCAATAACAAAAACTTTATTACATTTGTCTAAATTTCTAATAATACCAGTTTTATTCAAATACAGTAGTCCCGAAAACTCTGCAGTCCGGATAACTCAGCCACATCCTGGCAGGGCAAAAAAAATCCTTAGTTAATTAATTTTCATTATAGACAGCTTTATGCCTCAAAGTATTTTTCTGAAGTCTGTCTTATCAAGTAAATTACTTTACACTGTGTATTCATTAATTTTCATTTTCATGTAGTAAAGGCTCTATGCCTTCATAAAGTATGTACTTTTCCTTTGTTTAAGGGTATTTGGGCAGTTTATTCGCTGTTGTATTCTCAAGCAAACAATACATACAAGTACAGTACAATATTTTCTGAGGAAACACTTATTTTTTAAACCCCATTCCCGATAACCTGGCATTTTCACAAACTTGGCCACCCTTCAGTCCACATTAGGCCTTTAGTGTAATTACCACTCTTGAATTTTCACTGCATCTTTATCCTTAAAGTATGAAACAATAACTGCCCTCAAACAGTAGTCACATCTACTATTCAAGGATTTCTAAAAACTTAGGGAAACAACATAAAACTAATAAATATAAACTACTGTAGGGTAGATATCATATTTATTTACAGTAGAGCATCCATTATCCAACTCAATTGGGGACTGGGGTTGGATAATTGAAAACTCGGATAATCAAAAACTATGAAAAAATCCATTATTAGTGTAGTATATTATTATATCCCATGTAATTAGTATATTAGTATATCGCTATTAACCTACTTCGCATTGAATTTTCCTCCATGTTAAGCCGATCAAATTTTTTTTTTTTAAATAATAATCGTCACTATTGTATCGTTAAAAATTAGAAAATTAAGCCTCGTTTAAATACTGGCTCCCTTTCATGGTTGAGCCATGTTGCCAGCTAAAACACGTAAAAATAATATTAAAGTAGCCAAGACAGCCAAATATTGTAGCGCCACATCACTAGCGGACATTTGAATTTGCCGACTAGAACACAGTCGGTTAACCGAGGTGACGGTTAATCAGGGGTTGGATAATCGGTGCTCTACTGTATTTAACAAACAAATTTCATTTTCTATTAAAATTTATAAAATGTATACTATACAGTAGTTGTACTTTTCAATTATTTGTATATAGACAGTAAGTCATTATAAAGATATCAATTGCCATTTCAAATATAATTTGTTTTAAAAATCAAATTTTCATCAATATTTAGCATTGTGTTATCGGTGATCATTTGAATCAGCATTGTGGCTCAGCCTAAATACAGTTCTATAGGAGATTCATCTGCTGGACATTGTTCAATTGGCTTGCCATTAAAAGGCCAAACTGTTCTAAAATCAAAACTGAAGTAGTGGGAAGGATATCCACCCTAAATATTGCAGTAGCACCTCAGGATATGAAATTAATCTGTTCCAAAACTGAGATCGTATCATGGAAATGTCGTAAGGTGAATCATTTTCCCCCATACGATTACATGTAAAACCAAATAATTCGTTCCAACATAAAAAACACACTCAAATTAAATCTAAGTAGTAAAAATTAAACATTGAAAAAAATAACTTTAGTAAGGAAAACACTGAGAAATGCATCTTGTAGTTGTAAATGTATAAATAACCATAATAAAATAATAATTAATAAAAAAAAAAAAATGTAGTTTTATTTGCAGGATTAGCCTTTGAGGATAGACGATGGTGGAGGTGTAAACTGGTGACGGAGGAGAGGGAGAAGGGAAATGATACTAAAACTTAACTTACGTAACATAATGTAACAATAACTTAACACTCATTTTTTAACTTTTCTGTTTTATATATATATTTTAAATTAATGATCAATTTGCTGACGATCACGCCAAAATACTATATTGTAAAAAAAGGGAAGGCACTGAGGTCGGCGTTATGTGCCTTCTCTTTTTGTAGATCTGCGCATGCATGTATTCGCACATCATGGAGCTTTCTGCTCGTTCGTTTTTCGAACATTTTTTAATATTTCTATCGTGTTCCTAACGACTTTTACTAAAGTTTCATCTTAAATTTAAGCGTTCTATTCCAAATCGGATTATTTCCGTTTAATTCTTTCGATAATTCACCTGATGACGACGGCTATAAGTTTGTCGAAAGTACTAGCGATTAAAAAACGCACACATAACGCTGACCTCAGTGCCTTCTCTTTTTTACAATATTTTAAATTTTCTATCCATTGCTTTTTGCTTTCTTTCCTTCACTTCCATCAGCACTTTCACTGGACAGAGGTCGCTTGGTAAAATATCTATCCAAAGAGGTTTGGCTTGGCCTACTTTTTAAAATGTTTCTAAAATGACTTAGGCAAATGTCATTACTCTGAGCAGCAATACAGCCAGTGTGAACTTTTTGGGATGTTTCTTTTCAATAAAATCAGTCACTTTCTGATAATACCTCAAGATTTCCTTTATTGAGCGAGATCCTTCCACAACGAAGCAAACACGCGGATTGAGACCAATGAACAGAAGTGAATAAAAAAATGGCACTGCGAACTAATGTAACGTCATATGGTGAATTTTTGTTCGTATCGTGGAGCAAAACTATGTTTGAATTTCATGTCGTATCTTGAAAATTTCGTATGCTGGGGCATTTGCACATTTGTGTTAAACTACTATAAAATAGTATGGCATTTGATTGCTATTAATCCAGATTAACACTTTGAAGGTTAAATAATCTAACGGAACCAAATGAACCTAACCAAAGCACCATCATTTTGCTACTATAGGTAACATTAACCCTTTAAGTAAATATTACAAGTTTAATATAGTTTTTATACTTTTAACGTAATTATTAACTAAATTTTATTAAAATTTAAAAGTACTGTATAAAAACTCTATATTAAACTTGTAATATTTACTCAAAGGTACCAACACTCCAGACAGTTCCCTTGTGAGTTCTCCAATCTGTTAACATTGGTTACCCCTCAGGCTACTGATTTTCTTTTGTCTTAGATATGAGTCAGCAGGCACACCCTAATGATTAGGGTCAACAGGAACCCCGCGTTTTTTTATGCAGCGAGAGTGTAGCGAAATGACGTCACGAGCAGTATTGGCCAATTAGAAACCAGTTTCAGTGTGTTCGCTGTAAAGCGCTTCTCGAGCGCTGCATAAAAAAACGCGAGGGAACATTCCAGAAAGACGAGACAAAGAACAAAGGAAATAAAAATATGGTTACCGAAAATATAATGCCAATGCCACGATATTATACCTTTTGAGTTGAGAGCATAGCTCCTTCAAAAAAATGTATTTTGGGCACAAGAGATCGCGCCGGTGCAGTTGGCTCTCCAGATAAAGCCTCCAGTTCATCTGCTCGTTTTTTCCTTGATTTATTTTCTCACAGCGGTAGATATACCCAAACTTCTCTGACGAATCGGCTTTCTTCTCCATCGCGCCTGAAAAATACGACAAATTGAATTAGCTAACATACAGATATCCGCGTAAGGCACTCCTGGCATAGGCAGAAATAAAGTAAAACTTACCTCCGCAACGAGGACAAGGCGGAATGAAATTGGTTAAATCCGGATGTGGAACCATTCCCACCAGATGACAAAATTTCTGAGCTTCATCTTCAGTGGGAAAATATCGATAAAATAGGAAACTCGTTAAATTTTCAAAAATTTCTGTTGGAATGACATCGGAGCTCTCTGAAACGAGTTCCATTACGAACGACATTTTCAAATAAAGTAACGAACAGCATGAATAATGTTGCCAGATCTGAAAGTGCAAAAGTTGCCGATTTGAGCTGTTTGTAGCCCAAGCATAAAAATGAATTATTTTGCAACTATGTAATTTTACTAATGAAATTCTTAGAGTTAACATTAGAAAAGAATATGATATCTTTAATTTTTTAAGAGATGCTTTCTTTTAAAAATTCTACTTGACAAATCCGATTGTGCAATTTCGTACCTTCCGAATATCGCGATTAACGTGACAATGGTAGGCTAAAATAACCAAACTTTTTATATATTTTTCGTTTTAGTGTTATACATATGAACATTCCGTGTATCTGTATCAATTTTCTCTCTTGTCAAAGAGAGTCATTTGTAGGCCCATAATGGCCTAAACCCATTATTGGTTTGGCCAGGACCACAATGGAGAGACCGGGTTGGTGAGGGATGGAGCCTGACATATCCAAATGGACCACCTCCCGAAAAATTCATGAAGATTTTTCGACTCGATTCTGGATTCAATTCCGATTCCCCCAAAGTTGTAGGCTGCCACCTTGGGTTCGTTCGTTAATTAATAGCGGTCGCTCGCGTCTTCACTACTACAGGAGTGCGCTGCTGTTTGGCAATTAGGAATGATGGTGAAAGAAAGAAAGATGTCGGCGTCCGTACTATCGTAATAGAAGGATCTACGATTTTAAAATATGCATTTTTAAAGACCAAAGAAGAGATTCGTTTGTAAAATTTAACCGTGAAATGGATTATTTTGCCAACAGAGCATTCAAAGTAGCCACGAAAAAAAAAATTAGAATGCGGGATAAGCGCAAGTTAGTACACGTGGTGATGTATCTTCTCGAATTTTTTCGAATGGTAATTCGAAAAAATACATCATCGCGTGTTCTAACTTGCGCTTATATAACTTCTGAATTTTCGTTCATAAAACCACATAATGGACCCCAAAACGAAACTGTTTGAGTTATGGAGGATGCCATGTTGCTTTCCACCGTAAACTACTGCTATAAGCGGCCATTTTTGCCATCCGACAGCGCGCACTCCGACTGGAATTTAGGAACGCGGTCGGCAGGAATTTTTAAACGGGTGCCGCTCGCGCGGAGAAATAAAAAAAAATACAGTACACTCCTTGACCGCTCGGCCATTCCACCGTCCAATAGGATATGTTAGGTAGGGTAAGCATAAACTTTAATGCAAATTGTACACGGAAAATAATATTATTGTCTAATTTCCACTAACTTGCATTCGTTCTTGCATTGCACACATTTTTGTCTATCTAAAATCAAATCTTCAAATTGCAAAAAAGCTACCAAAATTATTTAGCGATAACAAATATCAACAGGACTATACATAGCTCAAATAATACAAACGAAAACAAAAAAATTATGAATGAGTCTCTTAATCTGCGTACAAATGACTTGCTTTGGCGCGAGAGAGAAAATTGGTACAGACAGTTCGAATTTATCTATGTATATGTATGAAAAATCAGGAAAATTCAGCTACGTGTAAAGTTGAAATTAAAATGCGTTTTTCTACTTTGTAAATGAAATCCATTTTATCTATTTTATGATATTATAACAACAATAGTTTCTTAAAAGATTAAGTTTAGTAAATTCTACCTAGATGATTTATATATAAGTAAATTAATTTAGTTTATATCGTCAAGCCACTTTTTTTAAACCAAAAATAAAAAGATTTTTATATCAATATATAAAAATTAAGTTTTACTTAAAAACAGATTTAAAAGAAATCAGGTACACACTTTTTTAAATTTTCTATTGTTATTACAATTTTTAAAATACAATTCTCATATATTAATTTAAAATTAAGATCTTGTAAAGTTTTACGATCATTACATTTAACACATTCTTTTGGTAGGATAAACCAAAGAATGTGTTAAATGTAATGATTTACATTTTACACGTTTATTTGCACTTGTTTATTTACATGTAAAAGTTTTCTTATCAGTTTTATTTGATTTCTTTTTCATAAACGATTCTTTCTTTAATTTACTAGAGAGGTTGAGGCGCACGTTTTAAACGTGTAAACGTGTACGTGTGACGTTCGGCGCCGCTTTCCCGTAAGCCTAAAAGTTTGACGATGATGTTTGGAATGTCGAGCGTGATTCCACCGACTATCCAAACACCATTGTCAAACTTTTAGGCTTACGGGAAAGCGGCGCCGAACGTCACACGTACACGTTTACACGTTTAAAACGTGCGCCTCAACCTCTCTAATAAATT